CAATAGTTCAGAGTCGGGTTTTAATGATAATAATCGGAATTTTACATTTGGTGTACGAATACTCCTAAGTCACCCCAAATATTCCAACTTCATTATTCTAACTTCAAATCAGACAATGAAAATACGAAATTCTACCATTCCACTCAAGTGCTATCCACCAGTTCTCTTTAGAAACTTCAAAACGAACCAAAGCTTCCTGGAATGAGCGTATTCCAACCCAAACACACATTTAAAATCAGCCATTCCCGCCGCCTACCTTGTACAGTCGCTGAATCCAATTTTAAACTGCGTACGGCCCAAATCCCTACATCTTCCATGTGAATGATGATGGACGAAAGGTCGAAACGACCATGACATCGCAAGCAAATTAACGTGTAGCCACGCGGAAAATATAGCGGCTCGGTCGCTTGTTTCTCTATCCAGTACAGGGGCGTAACAGTTCTGTAATTAACAGGGGTACTGAAAAATTTCAACTTCCTATGATCAACTTTTCAGATGCCCTGCCCATTCATCTTAATTACTCAAACCAAGTGATGAATCTATACCAATATTATGAATGAGAAAGTTTCTGATGACGTATGTATGAATGTTTGTGGCTCTTTTACACCTGTGGGCAACAACTAGTTGAAAAATATATCTGAATGTGTTGCAAACCTATATTCATCTTGTGATGGTTGTTCCTCAACGTTCATTTTGTAAAAAAACGTATGGGTTAGCTGAGTGACGTCATTCTGCTTCCAAGATAGCTGAACATTAATTTTCATGCCCTTTCAGTATATGGTCATCAAACGAAAGTCTTTGCTGAGAAATTACGCAAAAAGGAAATGACATCAGTCAAAATCCAAAATGGCGGACCAGTCATTTTTTATGAACTTTCATGACATGGGTATTGAATAAAAGGATTTGTTGAACAGAATGAGAAAAATAGAATAATGTCACTGTTTTTTCAATATGGCAGACCTTCCAAAATGGTGGACTAGTTATTTTTTGTGAATTTTCATGATATTTCTGGCAAATGAAACGGTTTTACGAACACGATACTGAATATATAATAAGATCACTGTGAAGCCAATATGGTGGTCCACCCAAGATGGCGGTCTAGTTATTTTCATACTCTTCATGATATCAGATGCGTTAATGACCTTGGTACGATTGCGCACGGCTGGTGTAAACCTCGAAGTGGGAATGGGTCTATTGAGGCTGGGCCTATGGCGGGAAGCTACAGGCAACCAGTGATGCAATTGGACCCAGGTTTGTGTTCAATAAACCCTACAAAATACAAATTGAACAGAACACAGAGTCACGCATATATACAGACGGCTCAAAAACCAAAGATGGCTCAGGATGTGGAGTGTACTCCAGATCACTGAGCCTAAGGATTACGTGGGGAATGGGAAGAACTGGCTGGTATCTCAATCGCCACAAAAGAAAAAACCAGGAAAGGAATTTCTGGCAAAAACATAACAATCTGCACTGGCAGCAGACAAGCCCTATTAGCTTTGAACAGACAACGTATAACCTCAGGGCTAGTACTTGAGTGTCACCAAGATTTAGCCATAGCCTTGGTAGATAATAACATTATCCTGAGGTGGGTTAAAGGGCATGGCAGGAGTAAAAGTATTCGCATTGCTGACTCTTTAGCCAAGGAAGCAGCTGGACTAAGAATTTCAGGACCTACGGCCTGATGACGTCGACAATTGCGGAACTAGCCAAATGTTAGACCCATGCTCAATCTCTAGAGATATGGGATGGATTCAAAGGATGCCATCTTGCCAGGATCACCTTGGGTGACCCTGGGAAGCTTGTGCCGAAGAAATATCTGGAGATGACCAGGAAAAATCGACGCTTAACAGTAGGATTCCTGACTAGCCACTCTCAACTAAGAAAACACCTCCATGATGTGGGGCTGGTGGACACACCTTTATGCAGGATGTGTGAACAGGAAGATGAGACTGTCAGGCATGACCTTTGCGAGTGCCCGGAGTTATCGTCAATAAGAGAGTGTGTGTTCGGCGAGTCCTGGCCTACACCTGCCGATATAAAGGAGATGTCTCCCACTGATCTGTCCACCTTCCTGAAAAGGACAGGATGGACGGTGACCTAGGAGGACAACTCCTCGGGAGGATGTAGGATGGGTCACATGTGGCCTCAGTGCTGTGGGCTTACATTTACCCTCCCTACTCTACAGATACAGATCAGATGAAAGTATTTGCTGGGACTAATGTGAAAAATTGAATAACGTCACTCTGAATCCAATATGGCGGTAAGATGGGGACTGGTTTTTTATGCACCCTCATGATTTTGGTACGTTTAGCTCAACGAAACACAAAAAATCAAGTCCAATATGGCGGATCCACAAAAATGGCGGACTGAATGGCAAAAAGAATCATGAACTCAGTTCAGTAATGTTTGCACATTG